GAAGAGGGATGAGGCAATCACAGAGGACTGCCCTCCTCCTCCTGAGTTTCACACCGTCGGTGCAGGTACAGATTCTGATGAGGAAGAGGAGGAGGATATGGAATACGACGACGAAGAGTACGGAGATGAAGATGGGATTATTATTGTTGACGCTGACAATGCTGATATAGAAGATAGGAAACAAGGAATGGTAGAACAAGTAGCTTAGGAAAAACAGGAATGAGACAACTGAGGGCTGAAACAAGTGAGAAATCAGAAAGTTTTGCGTATTGGTTTTTGTATAAATTTGTGTAACGTTCAGAACAACAGATCATATTTAAGTATATAATGGCATATATGCTTGCTTTGATTTTATGTCTAAGTTGATTTAATATATTCCAGTGTTTCGACAGAAATGGTTGATTTGGTCCGCAATAAACCTGTTTAAGCCTTGATGGCCTTTAAGCGACAGGAATTGCTTAACGCTAAGATAAGTGGTTTGAGAAATCTTTAAATCCGATTAATTAAGGTTACTGATTTTCCCACTCTTTTTTTATTCACTTACACTCTATTTTTTTGAAATTGTATGTTCTCACTCCTTTTTTGTTCACTTACACTCCCTTTTATCTTATAGTAAAAAGTATTAAAAAAATAAAAAGGAGTGTAGGTAGATAAAATGGGAGTAGGAAAATCACCACCCTTAATTAAATTGATATTCATAAAACTTTAGATCCGATTAATTAAATTGAGTAATGTAATTTATGGATCCCAATCCGAGCTTTTGGCCTATCCAGAATCACTTATGGGGGGTCTGCATGTTTCTCCATAGAAGTTATTTTTGGATAAGCCCTTTAGTTTCTTCTAGATTAAAGTATTATGGATGACAGTTGTTCTGGTTGATGCTATTCCTGCGATATTTGGGACCGTGGCTTGAATTGACATAAGGATATTTTGGGTGAGGTTCATTTTGAGAGATTCCAGAGCCCTACTTCACGAGAAATACTTCTATTAAACGGGGATATAATTATTTTGCTATTTTCGGTTAATAATGTTATGACATATGTGTTAATACTTTCACGTGACATAGTATTATTAGCCAGAAATAGCACAAAGTGTTACCCTAATTGAAACTGAGTTTTTCTCCTACTTCACATCCGGTCGTAATCATAACCGCATTAGGTCTCCAAGGTGAACAACCTCTAGTCAATGGAACAATGTAGGTAGGCAAGGAAAGTGGCAAAATTGATCTGTAACCTCGAAAAAAGGATTAACTCTGAAAGCAGAACACTCAAAACCGTCGATTGTTCGGTGGATTGTTCAAACTCCTTCATTACCATTGCATCACCACCTAATCCTACATTACATGGCTTCGAGTCAACTGCTCCTGATCCTGAAGTATGACGTATGACATATTTAATGTTTAAGAAATTTTGGATTGCAAGACAATTAAAAGGCCACGTGGCATGAGTAAAGCTTAGGTTTTCATTTGTTATCTAATATTTTGTAGCGAGTGGGTGAGAGTAACGTGTGGGAGTGTATTTTGTAAAAGTTGAGAAGCTGAGGCAGAACTCTCCTCATGTTGAAATAGAAGAACACCGAGAGTTCAAAGCGACGACTCTGTTTTTGGGCCAGTAACAATAAAATATTTAGGAAAAAAAAAATAAACTACCTATCAGTTGACATGTCATTTTCTAAATCATTAGATTATTACAATAATTTAGATTAAGTGAAATACCAATAAATTCACGAACTTTAAATATAGAGATTCGAGATCCGTAATTTACAAAGTCCAAATCAGATGGGGTGTTCTTTGCTCATACTTTAGTTTAGATGGGCAGAGCAAAAAGGCCATAAAACGATTGTCTCATTTTCAATACACTACGTGGAAAATGAGATAAAGTCAGTCTCATAAATATGTTAATACATGATTTTTTTTGTTTTTCCTTTTTGATAGGTATGGTAATGATGGCTTTGAGAAATAATTTATTATTATTATTATTATAGCAATTCTGGAAATAAATTTCTTTGAGAAGAAAAAGGAAGCTTCTATTTCGTGCGGAAAACAATTTAATTATAAAAAATGACCCACAGTCATAGCAGACTTTTCCAAATGCAAACGCAAGTCTCTATTTTCAAGAATGAATTATGCCCCGATCATAGGATGCATGCAAAGACAAACGTGCATTGAGGATCCTAAATTCTCCTCTTTGATTTTGATAAGTATCTGAATAATATGATAAATTAAAATTAAAATGATTAAAAAAAATAGGAAAAGAAATGGTGGCAATTGAGATCAAGACCCAGGTGGCCATTCCAAGTTGGACCGAGTATCCTCCTGCAGCCATCTCTATAAATGAGCAATGCCCTCAGTTTAGAGGACATACACCACACCAGTAGTTATAGCAGAAACAAACAAACATGGCACAATTTGCTTATGTCACCACCGCCATTGTTGCCTTCTTCCTCATCCTCCTTCCACAATCTTATACTTCTGGATCTATTTTAAGCCATAACCCTCGCTCCTACCCACTTACACAATCAGATGTTGATCTTTTAGAATTTCCTCTGAATTTAGAGTATTTGGAAGCCGAGTTCTTTCTGTATGGCTCTTTGGGCTATGGCTTGGATGAAGTTAATCCAGGCCTAACCCAAGGAGGTCCATCTCCCATTGGTGCTAAAAAAGCCCACTTGGACCAGTTCACTAGGGATGTTATCACGCAATTTGCATGGCAAGAAGTTGGACACTTGAGGTTCAATCTTCTTTCTTTCTTTTGTTTTAATAGTTTTTTTTATAGTATTTTCTCATACCAAACTTTGTATTAATTATGTTATCTTATGCAGAGCTATTAAAAGTGTAGTAAAGGGATTCCCAAGGCCGTTGTTGAATTTGAGTACAGAATCATTTGCCAAGGTGTTTGATTCTGCATTTGGTCATCCCTTGGTTCCCCCTTTTGACCCTTATGCCAATTCAATCAACTATCTCCTTGCATCCTATGTGATTCCTTATGTTGGTCTCACTGGGTATGTTGGAACCGCCCCAAAGCTCCAAGCTAATGCTTCCAAATCGGTAAGCTTCAAACACAATAACAAGAAACTGAAAATATAACCCGATTATTTGTTCACGTTCACCAAATGATCTGGCAGTGTTTCGTTTATTTGAATCAAATCAAATCTGGGTTCGTTCTGAACTTCATTTATTATTAGTAGTATTGACAAATTCAAATTGCTTGGTGATTTGATATATATCTATATGTAACAGCTAGCTCTAACATTACTCATTATTAATTTATGTGGGTTATGTTCAGCTCGTTGCAGGGCTTTTGGCAGTGGAATCAGGTCAAGATGCAGTGATTCGAGCATTGCTATATGAGCGTGCCCCGGAGAAGGTGCAACCATATGGTATAACAGTGGCTGAGTTCACTAATCGCATTTCAGATCTAAGGAATAAGCTAGGACATGGAGGTTGGAAAGATGAAGGCCTTGTGGTTCCCAAATACAGAGGTGCTGAGGGAAAAATCAGTGGCAACGTTCTCGCCGGGGACGAGTTCTCACTCGGATATGCCAGGACACCACAGGAGATACTAAGAATTATATATGGGAGTGGTAATGAACATGTCCCTGGAGGTTTCTATCCTAAAGGAGCTGATGGCCATATTGCTAAATCTTATTTACCCAATGCATAGAACTTGAACAAATTAATGGTACTAGTTAGGTTGCCATGGCGTTCAGGTTCCTTGTTTAGACACAGTGTTTTCAGTAGTTGTAGACAGAATTAATGTTCTTAATAATGATTGTGATCAAGGAATTGCTTCATGATTCAGTTTGCACACATTTCAATTCGATAACTAATGTAGTTTAAAAATAAATAAAGGCAAAAACTCCCTTTTTTAGTTTATGTGGTTTATCACTTTTACCACTAAGGTTCCTGTGATTTCAATTTGAACGTTTTTGTCCTTGTGTTTTCAATTTCAAGTAATTCAAAGACAACTCTCAATTTCTATTAAATTTTTTAAACTTCTGTTACTTGTGAGGGGGGCAATTCGGTCAAATTATTAAAAAATTCATTCCTTTTTAAAATAACAAATACAAAATGGAAAAATAACACAAATTCATTCCTTTTTAACTCTGGTGCCCTCCCCCTCTCTCTCCCATGCCCTCCTCCTCCCACCATAAACACCATCTAACAAACCACTGCCCAATATCATCCACCCAGCAACCAACCCTTACCACCCTCTCATCACATAACTTCTCAAGACACCTCACCTATCTCTTTGTCTCTCTGTCTCAAGTCCAGCCCAAAAAATTGAATGCAAGCAAAAGACCACATTGCTCATAATTTATTACAATATGGCCAATAGATCTGAAAAAAAACAAAAAACAAACAAACAAACAAACAAACAAAAATTTAGCTCCAACCCAGCCCACCCACGAAGAATTACTCCTATTTCAATTTTATTCTTACTTATTATGGTTTATTTGATTGTATTTTTGAGGAGCAGAACTTGAAGTTGGGAAGGGTAAACTCTATAGCTATCGCCAAGTTATTAAAAATCGATTGATGAACAAAGCTGTATATTGGAGAATATCTAGTTTTAGGTTGTGTTGTCGGTAGGGATGGGGTTGGGGTGGGTCACGGCTAGGGGTAAGGGTGGAGCTGGGGATAGGTGCTATCAGGTGGTGGAGAAATGAAGAGGGAGAGATACAGCAGAGAGGGACGAAGGCTTCTAGGGAGGGGAGAAGAAGATATATTTTTTATTTATTAATTTTTCCATTTTGTATTGTTTATTTTTAAAAGAATTAATTTTTTAATAACTTGTTGACTAGATTACCCCTCCACCAGTAACAGAAGTTAAATGCGACAAATCACAGGGACCAAAAATGACGTTTTGCCATAAATAAATAAACAGAAAAACCAATCAGTAAGCTTAACTCACAGACTGGAGGTTCATAATATAAGGTTGCAAGTTAGACAATAAAGAAGATACAGTTAATGTTGCATCCCAAACTCTTCATTTATACACCCCATGAACATGATACATATTTAAGTCTGCACACCACACGGATCATTTTCGACACAAAAAAGAGAAACAAAGGACGTAGGTTACATGAAAAAAGTAATCGCGTATCAAGACAAGAAGACATAAGAGGAAGGTTTTGATATACAGTGACCTGTTGTAGCACATGCATTCAGCATTTCTGGTGTCAATGGTTGTTGCACTTAAGCTCTTAACCGTCATCCATACGACTTTATGCAGAGCAGAACCAATAGCTGCTGCTGCAAGAACCATTTGTACATCAAGTTTCCACGTTGGTCATGAAGGGGCAAAATTGCAGTTACAAAGTCATCGTAAGGTAAGCAGCAGCTAAGCAAGGAATTAGCATATGAACTGCGAGATATTCGCAAGTAACAGGACATATAAGTGTAAGCAGACAGGAGATCGCAGCATATGGAATGTGTTAAGTTTAGCATCTGTCACATTTATCAATGTTAGGCTAAGAACATATAAAACGGATGAATTTTCATATTAACATCAAGCTCATGTTTCTTATCCATTGCGAAGTATATCGTCCAGTATGTAGATTGGCTCCAACTGACCTAAACTGCTAAAGAAACACCGCACTAACACATTCCATGTGCCAATGTTGGGGCAGATCCCTTCCCTTATCATCTTATGAAGATAAACCATGGCTTCATCTAAACCTATCAAATTACAAATCCCAGACAGAAGACTGGTGTAAGCTATTACATCTGGCTGCCACTCCTTTGCCGCACCAATACTGTTGAAAATCTGAGTAGCGGTGCTTATCCTACCTTGCTTACAATAGGCATATATAATTATGTTATATGTGATGGCATCAGGCTTTGTTCCCCCTACCAGCATTTTGCCGAAAAGCTGCATACCGTCCATGGTCATTCCAGCTTGACAAAAACCATTCAAAATGGTATTGTAAGTTACCAAATTCAGTTCCATCCCTCTTTCCTGTATCTCCTTAACAAGTCCAAATGCTTCTTCGAATCTGTTCACCTTGAAGAGACCATCCAATAGCTCATTATATGTTGTAATGTTAGGAAAACACCCATGCTTCTCCATCTTATCAAGCATCTTGACAGCCCAATCTACCTTTCCATCGCCACATAACCCTTTGATAAATGTGTTAAATGTAACTGCATTTGGAGGACAACCTTCAGCAGTCATATTTTCCACAAGACATTGAGCTTGATGAAACATATAATTCCTACAAAGAACATCCACCATGCAGGTATATGCTATGACATTAGGACGGCAACCATGGTTCATCATATTGTTCCAAGTCTCAGATGCACCAACAAGGTTACCAGCTTTTGCAAAGCCATCAATAAGAGTGCCGTATGTGGTCACATTTGGAGGGCAGCCATTTCTCTCCATCTCATGTAAAACAGATACAGCATCACCCATTTTCCCATTGGAGCAGAGACCATGCATCAGACTAGTATATGCAATAATATTGGGCACAAATCCCTCACGAATTATGCGTTTCCACAAGCCAAGAGCTTCATGGACTCTCCCTTCTAGAAAATAACCCTTTATCAAGGAAGTAAATGTGTGAATATTAGGACTACATCCTCTCACAAACATTTGAGCCAAAAGTGCAAGAGCAGACTCAACGTTCCTCATATCAGAAAGATAATTAATAATCGTTGAGTATGTGATAACATTAGGGTCTATTCCTTTATCCACCATTTCAACCAACAATTCCAAAGCCTCCTCAATTTTGCACTCTTTGCATACCCCATTTATCACAGCATTATAAACAGGCACAATGGGATCAAACCTAACAGCAAGCTCCCTGGCTTCTTCTACCTTTCCAACTCTACACAAAGCAGACACTACAGTCGTATAGCTCACCGCGTCTGGAGAACATCCCTTCTTCGACATTTCAACAAGCAACTTGTGAGCACCATCCACTCTATCATTTTTACACAACGCCTTCAAAAGAATGTTATATGTATACACATTTGGCTCCATCCCATCTTTCTTCATATTACTATATATCGGATTAATCATCTGAAACCTATTCTCACTAAGCAATGCATCCAAGAGGTGATTGTAAATCTTGACCGTTGGTTTGCATCCAAATTCTCTTATCCTATAGAACATTTTCAACGCCTGCTCAGCCAACCCAGCTCGCCTATAAGAGTTGATCACACTTATGAACAACTCCTCAGAGCAGCCAAGTCCCTCCAATTTCATTTGGTTCAATAGGTACTGCACACCATCCATTTCACATTGGCTCCCAAGCTTCACAATCATGGCCTCGTACGTTAATGGGGTGTGCTTGAAAGCTCTTGAATTGGAAATGGACCTGAAGTATTCTAATGCCGACGCTATGTGGTGCTCGTGTCTTAACCTCTGCAACACATCATACTCTTCAAGAAAGGCTTGGCTGGGTTCCATTTGGGGTTTAGGGTTTGAATTGAGAATTGGGTTTGTGTTGAGCACAAATGGTCTTGATGGTTTGTGAACTTTTAGCAGCAGGGAGCATCCTTCTTTCAAATACATGATAAGGACAAGCTCAAATTCAGCTCATCAAATAACAAAAACCCCCAAACCCCAGCTAACACAAAGTTTATGAATTCGAAAATGGTGACCAAAGCAAGAACCAAAAAAAAAAAGATAAAATTTTGAGTGTGCAAATAATGAAAGTTCGAAATTTTGAAGGTTTCTTAGAGTTGGGTTTGCAGTAAATGGTTCAAATTCTAGCTCAACGCCGGATTTTCATGTTCAGGAGGGGAGTACCATCGTCTTCTCAGAAGTTTGGGTTGTATATGTATGTAGAATAAAAATGTGGGGTGCTGATGTAAATATAAAACTATTTGGGGCGAAATATGAATTAATAAAAAGTCGGACACACACACACTCCGACTCGGACTCAGTTTTCTTCTAAGAACCCAAAAACCCAATTAGACAAAAACAAAGCTCATTCAGCAGCAGAGTGGAAGAGCAGGCCTCCGATCGCTCCTCAGTGTACGTACATCCATCTCTGGTAATCTTAATTTCCTCAATTCTGTTTTCCGTTTTGGTTGTTTATGTTTTTGACGAATTTGATGTTATGTTGTCTTCAGTTCCCAAATAACAGATCTTACCGTTTGTTATCTATTCTATATTAACTGAATCTGGAACATGCGGAACCATATTCTGTGTTTTAATTTTTCTTTATAAGGACGTGGGTTTTAATTTTTTTTTTCCAGTAATTCATTGTAAACATTGGATTTTTGTGTGATTCTATCTTTGTTTCTGTATAATTTTCTTGGTGTTAGATGTAGTTCCTAGAAGAAGGAAAAAAAAAAGAAAATATAACCCAGTTCAACTGGTGCTGATGTGCTGAGTGAGAGATATCAAAGGTCTGATATGGACTTAAGGCGCCAGGATCGCCAATATTCATGACTGGTTTTAGCTGGTTAAGTGAGGTTTATATGTTGAAATCTTGATAATTTAATTCATCTTAAACCCATTAAAGAGTCTTCTATGTGTTTGCAAAACTTAAAGCAAACCCATTTGACCCTTGTTCTCCCTAGTTTTTCTCCTCTGGCGGTGGAGTTTGAGATTTACCATGCCTGTGAATTTAGGAAGTACCTAGGAGTCCACCCATTGTGTTCTGAAATTTTTGTGTATATTTGCTTCCTCGGTAGTTTCACCTGTTCCAATTCCTTTTTTTGTTTTTTTTTTTTTGTTCATGCTTATGCTATGATTTATGTTTTCGCTGACTGGGTGCTCTATGAACTTGTATTAGTTATTCACTGATGGTTTGTACCAAACTAAGGGATGGTTTTTATTTTGTCTTTTTTCTTCAGAAATTATTTGTCAGCTCACAGAAAGGAGAAGGTATGGATGGACATAATGACTCAAGTGCATCTGAGAAGAAACTGAGCGAGGCTGCAAATGTTGTGCCAACCCTCAATGCTGAGAATTTGCAAAGTAACATGAAAGTTATATATTACAGGTTTGTTTTGATAACTTCGTAGACCATGAATCTATTCTCTGCCCCCATATGTTCTTTACATTGACTTGTCAAGCCTCAAAAGGTTGGTTTCTATGTCGATCTTAGGAGGAGGGAGGGCAATAAAACAAGGAATTTTTATTTATTTATAGATTTTAGCTCTTATAGTTTGTTCAGTTTTCTCCAGTAATTGATGATGAAATGTCTTGTTAAATGTTGGGAGGGATTGTGGTTCCAGATATTGCTCATGTTGATTACTATATGATAACAGGCTAGTGTAACAAAATAACCTTTTTGATTCATCATAATAACATGTGGGAAGATCTCACTCCAAAGAATTTGATAACTTCAAACTTTGTCATGCTAGCTAATCCATTCTTACAACTTTCTGTGTCAATACTAAAAAATTCTGTATTTCCCCTTGTGCAGCCGAACATTTATGTCTATCATCGGTGGGGTCATTGCTGGAATTTTGGGATTCACAGGCCTTACTGGTTTTATCTTTTATTTTCTTGTTATGGCTGTCACTTCAGTTGGACTCATTGCCAAGGCGGGGTTTACAGTTCATTCATATTTTGATAGCTGGAACCAGATTATACTTGATGGCTTTCTCGGTGGGCTTTTGGTACGCTCTCTTTTATTTAACATTTCTCTTTGATAGGCTACACTTTAAAATAGTTGTCATTGCTGATATATCTAATATAGTTATTAAACTTGTGTAAAATTTGTGATGACACATCTAACATTATCAATACCTTCATCTTCTTGATTTCCTTCTTCTCTTTTACCTTTGACTAACAACTGTTTTCTTTTCATTTTGCAGTCATTTGTGCTGTTCTGGACGTATCCTTTAAACAAATGAGAGCATACTTAATAATAACAATATGTGTGTATGTGTGTGACCGATTTATGGTACTGAATTGATGTTGTTAATATCTGAAAACTAGTACTTTTTCGACATGACAACTCTTATGGCATGACCATGGTGCCTCCAAGAGCATTGGTATTTCGCAAAATCATGTTAGACCGAATTTCTGTGAAAATCTGAAAACATGCGTTTTAGCTAATTCCTATGTCTCTGATGTTCACTTGTTTTCCTTGACATAAAAAGATTTGCTTATGACATTGTGCATATATTCTGAGGAGTTATCTGCAACATCTCGAACTGAAGGAACCCCGCGTTGCTGCCAACTCTTTACCATATCAAGAATGAAGTGAATCCGCTGCTGCTTTGGGGATGGCCAAGTTATTTGTGTTAAACGAATGTAATTGTGGGCTTTGTCCGCCTCTATTTTTCCCCATGAAAACACTTTAGCTAAAAGGCTTGCATGCTTAGGCTTATTGACGTACCTGCAGAACTTTTTGTTTTAGGTAATTTGTTTTATGAAAGCTGCTTTGTTCGTTGGATTGTAATCAAAATAGTTTTCTTTTAACCAATTCAAATGTTAGATAAAGGTGATGAAATGAAATTTTATATATTGAGGCGTAGCATTCATGGATCAGAGAGCCCATCCAAAGAGAAGTGACTAATTTCTTTTCTACTTTTTTCTGGGTAAAATTCTTTAGGACTAACTATTTTGAAAACGAAAAGACCAAAAAGGAAGTACGAGATGTTTGACAAACACTTGGATCATTTTACTATAATGGTAGCAAAAGTTGAGTATTAAGTATGGCAAAGGTATCCCACTGGTTGGAGGTCAAATTGATTACCCACCCTTCCCTATACAATTTATGCCCCAAAATCTAATACTAATACAATGCTCATTGCTGAGAAGAAAAGAAAAACTAATACAATGATCTGCATTTCCATTAATAACCCAGACAATCAGCAGCAGATGAATCCGTATCTCCAATGGGTTACGGAGGCAAAGAACTGTTGCAGTGGAATGGCATTCTCCCGTGTTCACGAATAACTTTTACAAGCAAGTGGCCTTGTGTAATATATCTTTTTTCGTATTTGAATTATCACACCTGTGGAGTTTTTTCAAGTATCAACCAAATTCCAGAGTGAGATGCGAAACCATATTAAAACTTTCAACTTTAAATTTCCGATGTAGTGTTCAAGTTAAATTTTTGACGGAACAAAATTTCAGCTTTACGTAGGGCCGTCATTCCTTGGCACTTGACCTTCCTGATGAAAACCGTAGTGTACATATCCCACCATCCCACTCTCTATTTAAAGAAATGCGATATCGAACATTAGGATGGAGGTTAGTACATGCATTTCCATGAGTAGGTCTTCAGCTTTTAAGGCCAAGGAATGATTTGCACTCATACACATTTTGGACAGCGTGAAACGGACTGAGACTTGATTAACCAATTCAGAGGAGTAAAACTTACCAGCATTTGGGGGATTTTTAGGAAGACAAAAGAGATGAAGTATAATCCACATGATATTGCTGTGGCTGTAATTATGTTGTTGACAAGGCGCTTGTTATCTTTACTGGGTACAAATGCTATTTTCAACGTATTTGTCAGGTCAAAAAGCCTGTAAGAGATCTGCAAGCAAGCATGCAAAAATTGAAGCATGAAAAAGAAAGGCCAGATATTTTCAGATTACAGCATATAACATCCTTTACTTACTGCGACGTAAATGGCGGAAGTGAGCATGAAGTTTAATAGCGGGTATTCTGGGATCATAGAGAGCAACAACTTAGGCTGAGCATCAGGGAGACCAGATCTGCAAGTTTTCATGCAAGTCAGAATAAGAAACGTAGGTAATGTAGGCATAAACATGTGTACCATGCGACCTTCCATTAAAACCAAAATTAAAAGGGAAACTGAGGTTCGACCAATTCTCAGTGACTCATCAAGAAAATTTCATTTCTCATTTAAGATATTGATCCCTTTTTTACTATAGACTAACAGAAGGAACTACTGCTCCACCTTCTTTGTGTTTCTTTGGTGTAGGGGGAATTGATCAAAATAGAAGTTGAGAGGGGATATTTAAAATTACCCTAAGATTCACAGGGAATTTATGACAATTTTTCCTTTTTGCTAACATTGGTAAACACTTATGGACTGTCTTTAGCAAATAACTGGAGTACAAAGTGAGCTTCAGTGTACCTTAACCAGACGTGGAATTGCAAGATGTAGGTCTCCAGTGTTATCTTTCCAAGCCATCTGGTAAACCAAAAATAATGTTAGGGAAAAAAAAACCATAAGTTTTAAAGATCACAAGCATCTTTATAATGGTGTAATTTTTTACTGAAAACAAAAAAGATAAAGCTACCATAATCTTTAAGAATTACACCCGATGGTGTCTGCAGCAAATGCTATGACTCTAATGTGTGAGAAGAAACAGATTAAAATCAGAGAGATCGCAAGATGAAACACTCACGCAAAAAGGGTCAAAGAGTAGCCGCGGAATTGCTGTGTGACATTGCGCAAACTTATGTAGACCCTGATCAGCAAGACCAAGATGCTATATTAGCAAATAAAAAAAATTTAGGGGTGGTCGAAAATGTTAAAATACTTAGGGCAAGATACCATACGTTATAGGAATCCATGAGGTATATGGATGATATTTATTGTAAGTAAGCTTGTCCATCTTGTATATATACTCAAACCACAGATATCCCACCTAGAAATTCAGAGACTGGATCAGAGATGAATGTTTAAGAAGCAGAATTTTCGTGATTATGAGAATTATAATACCGTTACGGTTATCAGTGTAACAGCTGTTTTGATTGACATTTTACG